AGTGTCACGGCTGCGATCGAGAGGGGTCCGGGAACCGGGGTAAACCGGGGAACCGGGCCCCACCCCGCGCACAATACATCCCCTAATGGAGCGATGTGCGGCCACGTCACATCGCGCGACGTCGCCGGACTGCTTTGCGGGCCCGAGGTGCTGAGCTGCCAGGGCCTAAGTTTGAATCTCACAGGGGGGGGGGGCGCGGCGGACCTAGCGCGTCACACCGAAGCGCATCCACGGCCTCTGCCGCGCCCTCGCCGGTCAATCCTTTCGGGGTGAGGGTACCGCACCCTCACCTTCTCCGAGGCCGTTTTCCGAAGCATAACCTTCTCACAGAAGGAGGTCACGGCCCTCCTTCTTCTCTCGCTTGCCAACAATGCCTCGAGGATCGTCGCCGGCGGAAGGTCCCATCTGATTTCCACGATGAGGTCGTGGAGCGGCCGCGCCCACGCCGGGCAATATTCCAGCGTGTACGACGTCGAATCCACGCTTGCATCGCAGTGGTGGCAACGCGCGCTCGCCTCTTTCCTGATTCGGTGCTGATACTCACCGAAGCAACCGTGGCCGGTGAACACCTCCGTCACCCTGTAGGTCAGGGGAGGCCCGCCGTCGTCCAACCAAACGTCCCAGTTTGGAAGGACGGCCTCTCGTGTCGAGGCTGGCGCGCCATCTGTCGAGCAAAGCCCACCGAGCCCGAACCCTAACGTCGGCGCCCACCGGGTCGATCCCGCCCGATAGACCCCGAGTGTAGAGATAAACCTCAGGGCCTGCAATTCGAACGGGGAAAACCCGGAGAGCACCGACGCTGCTGCCATCGAAATGATGCGGAAGCCCCTCACTACCCTGATGGCCATCGTCCTGTTAGCCTCCTGACCGCTAAGAGACTGCGACGGTTGGTCATTAGGTCCTCCGCCTAGATTGGAGCTCCGTAGAGGAGCCTCGATCATATCGATCACTCCGATGTCGGGCCCGCTCAGCCGAGGCAGTAAACGTCCTAAGACGTTCGCCGTCGCCTCAACAGACGGCGCCAGGCGCTCGAAGGGGGCGCTGAAGGTTCAGTGGTTGTCGAGGGTTAGGCCCAGATACTTCATGCTGGTTCCGACCTTGATCTCAGCCCCCTCCAACCTCAGGCTATAACCCGCTGGAGGCGTCCCGTGATCGGCCTTGCGGCAAAACTACATTGCCCCGGACTTCTCTGGGGACACCCTCAGTCCCAATCCCTTGATCTCGGCGACCACGCAGGCCACCGCCAGCTCCGCCAGACGAACGATTCTACTCCACGCCGTGCCCCAGACCAGCACCAACGTGTCGCCGGCGTAGCAGACCAGCACTAACGTGTCGTCGGCGTGGCACGTCAGTGTCGAGTTCGGTGGCATCGGCGTCCGAAGCACTGCGTCGTACGCGATGTTCCACAGCAACCTTCGGAGGCATCGGCGTCCGAAGCACTGCGTCGTACGCGATGCTCCACAGCAACGGACTCAACACCGAACCTTGCGGGACCCCGCGGTGTACAGCCCTCCCGGTCACCCCTCCGCCCCGAACGGTATAGACGATACTCCGGTCCCGGAGGAACGCCCGGATCACACCCCACAGGTACGCGGGCACCCGATGAAATTCGAGGGCCCAGCATATCTTGTCCCAGGAATGCTGTTGAAGGCGTGGACACGGCCAGCGCCACGTAACCACGCCGCTCGGCCCCCTCGACAAGAGAGCGGACGCGGGCGATAGCGTCGGTCGTAGACCGCCCTCTCCGGAAACCGAACTGGCCGTCGTGTCGGTCGTAGATCGCCTTCTCCGGAAACCGAACTGGCCGTCGTGCAGTCCGGGCACACTCCGGGACAGATGCGACTCCAGGCCGGCAGCCACCACTCTCTCCAGCAGTTTGCCCGCCTCGTAATTTTATAACCATTATTACGGTATTTGCGGTATTTATATCGTGCGCCCGTATATTCGACCGCGAGCGAGACAGACAGACTCGTCGTCGTAGTAACCCTTTGGTTTTGGCGGTTGATACCCGCGGATCGCCCGGGAGGTGTTGCGTCGCGTTGACGCCTCTACCTGTCGGCGTCCTGTTGATACCGATCCGCCACAGATATGTTCTTGTTCGCGAGTTAAGAGAATCGAACAATTGCATAAAGTTTTCAAGGACCAACCAACGATTAAGCTTTTCTGAAGCATAAATTTAATCACGCTATTGAAAGATGCAGAAAAATATATGTCTACAAGTGCTCGTGATACAATTAGCGATAAGGATCTGAAGCGGTGTGAAAATTAAGCGCACCGTTTGAAACCAACAGCATCAGCTGATCGGGAAAACCATGACGACGACGATAGTAACTCTTACTCGCGCCGTACGAAGGAACTAGTTTCTTGTGCAACGCATTAAGGAAGTTTCAAGGTCGAGGTTTATACGCGGCCTAGATAAAGTCTTGACCGGTTTGTTACTTTATCGACTTTCACCGTCACGTACTTCACGCGTAAAACTTTCATCCTGTAACGAACGACCGTTTCTTAGATTTGCATTCGTCTAACTAGATTCTGAGAGGGACATAAAAATTACTCGTGAATGAGTTTTATTTGACGCGAACAAAATCGTATTGTTCATTAATCGTAAAGTAGGCTTCTAAGATCGTTCAAATTTTACGTCGTTTTCCCCATTTTTGACAAACATCCGAGCTTGTTTGAAATTTCGTCGACTCGATACTTTGCCCCATCGTTTTATTTTCTTCCCATTATTTTTTTCCTTCTTAATTAAAGTGACGAGTCGCGGGGTTTTCACGATCAAATTCTTTTTTATTGTTTTTCTTTTGTTATTAATAATATCGTATTGTATTCATTGTGGAGATAATAGATCTCAAGGGAACTGGGTCGTAGCAACTCAGCTGTTCCCTTGGAAAGAATTGTTAAAGTTTTAATTATTCTGAAATCGAATATATTTTATACATCGTGTTTTTACCCGTATGTTCACATTTAATAAAAATGTACAGCGTTATTTACGAAGCAACATAGAATCAGGATTTCAGGATTTGCTCGTAAAATATATCAGGATATAGGAATAATGGAAGAAGTGTAGAAAACAGTGCAATTTTGAGCGGCTGTGTTAATAATTCGTTGATCAAGGATTAGTACTGTGACACTTCAAATGCGAGCTTGTTTTGAAATATATTGAGGTTTATCTCGGAATTGAATAAAGAGGAATGCGTGAATGAATAAATAATAGAAATATATTTGAGTAAGTATAAATAGAAGTATAAGTACAGTGTATACTATTCCAGATTCGCACGCTACTAGCGTTAGTTTACGATAGAGTTTCGAAGCCATGACCCTGTAACATCAATCCACATCAGTGACCAGCCCACACACAGTGACAGCGGGCAAGATGGCAGCACATAAATATCTGCACATCCTTGGCGCTTATGTTCAATAGTCTTCAAGGACCCACATAATTGGCATTTTCATAGTTAGGTTCCTTCGGATCAAACAAGTATCTTTTTTATACAAGTATCACCGCCCTTCTTATTATCCAATCAGAAACGGTGTCGACTGTTCTCATTTTCCTAACCGAAATTGTCAACAAATCCGATGGTCCCGTGTCCTTAGACACACCCATCTCCAGATTTCCTCAGACACAGTATCTTCAGTAAAATTTTATTTATACTGTGTCCTTAGAATAGTCAACATATTGTGGCGGATGAAAAGAGAGGTTGCGTTTCGTCCCGGGAATACCGGTGGACTCGTCAGTAAGACTATGCCCGGTAGTCCCTGCCTTAGACGTAGAGGGAGTCTCGCTAGGTGCGGTATTTGTATCAATCGCTCGTATATTCGACCGCTAGCGAGTTAGACAGACTCGTTGTGGTCGTAGCGCTCTAGTGTTAGCGGTTGGTACCAGCGGATCGCCCGGGAGGTGTTGCGCCGCGTTGATGCCTCGACCTGTCGGCATCCTGTTGATACCGATCCGCCACAATATCTTTACCGGTTTCTACCCTCAGACCAGTCGCGTACTTGATCAGTGTATACTCAATTGTGAATATTAAGAGAAAAATAGAGTTTAATAAAAAAAAACAAAGTGTATAGATAAAAAAAATTCCGAAATAATTTGAATTATTGAAAATATTCCAAGAATTGATCAAAAATTTCATAAATAATTAATGTTAATTGGGGTACGTAAATTAATAAATGATAAAGGTGAATTAAATATATGAGTTTTATAAATTATTGAAATTACTTTTTTCATTTTATTGCTCGAAGATTTTTATTTTTAATATAACAAATTTTTGTTACAATTAGTAATATTATAATTAAAAAAATAATAAACATTAATAAAATACAATAATTAGGTTTTAAATATAATTTTTTAATAATATTTATTTTATTATTTTTAGAAAAATGTAAATTTTATAATATTATTTTAATTTGTTTTATTTGAATAATTATAATAAATAATATAAATAAGATTAATATTAATTTTAAATTATTTTTTTTTTATATTTTATTAACTAAGCAAATAAAGTAAGAAAATATAATTAGAGAAACAATAATAAAAAGAATTAATAAAATAAATAAAATTAATGTAATTATTTGTTTTAATGTTAAAATATTTATTATTATAAAAATAATATAA